CTCGGTACTGAGCGGTACATGCACGGTACACGCTCGGCTGAGCAGTACATGCTCGGTACACACTCGGTACTGAGCGGTACATGAGTACATGCTCGGTAATGAGCGGTACATGCTCGGTACAAGCTCGGTATTGAGCAGTACATGCTCGGTACACGCTCGGTACTGAGCAGTACATGCTCGGTACACGCTCGGTACTGAGCGGTACATGAGTACATGCTCGGTATTGAGCGGTACACGCTCGGTACACGCTCGGTACATGCTCGGTACATTGAGCAGTACATTCGGTACATGCTCGGTACTAGAGCTACATGTTGGTCACGCTCGGTGCTGAGCGTACATGAGTACATGCTCGGTACTGAGCGGTACACGCTCGGTATTGAACAGAATTTCAAAAATTACTCTTATAATATAATTTTGTTCGGGGCAGGCGCCCCCGGAAACCCCGCAGGGGCGCTGCCCTTGACCACGCGACCTGACCGAGCAGGTCGAACCCGCCAGGGGGCAGCGCCCCCTTGGACCCCCGGCAGACTGGTATATTTTAAAAGCTTTTGCAGTTAAAGTTCTTAGCCTAACGTGTTCGGCTTCTGCATGCGAGCGTAATTGGAGCATTTTCAATCAAATTCATACAAAGAGGAGAAATCGATTGCGGCAGATCGAATAAACAAACTAGTTTATGTTATGTTTAATAAAAAATTAAAAGATAGATATCTCAAATTGCAGAATCAAGGAAATATTGAGAATGAAATTAATCCTTTGCTTGTTGATGAGTTTACAATCTGATGATGAATGGGTTACTCCTAAGAATGCTGATGTTTTGAAGTTGAAGTAAGAGGAGAAACTCATGTCAATGAAGAAGATAATGAAGCAACTGCCCAAGTATATAAAAGGAAGAAACAAAGTGAGATTGAAGCTTCAAAAAAAATTCAAAGGTATTCTTAAATATAATGAATTATTTTGTACTTTACTATTGTTTCATTTTATAGCTAATGAAATATTAACTGATATAGGAGATAAAGGAAAAAATATTATATAAGAAGAGTTTGGGATGACTTTGACATTAATTATGAAGATTCTTCTGAAGACAATCAAAGTGATGACGAGCCTGCTTGGGTCTTGATCCTAAGGGGATGTTTTTTTTTTAAGTGAGTTTATTTTAAATCTTGTATTTCAGTAATATTATCTTAAACAAATCTTCAAATCATAGTTGACATAATATTTTGTTATTTTTTGTCATTATTTATAATTTTAAATTAATTTATTTTAATCGTTTTGAGGTTTACGCCTCGATCCGCCTCGAGGCTTACACCTCGCCTCGTTTAGAAAAAACGTCTCGATTCCCGATTTCGCCTTTTAAAACCTTGGGTGGGACTACATCAGATTGGAAGAGGGAGGGGATGTTTCTCTTTCCATGCGGCCCTTGGTTCAGCAATACAGTAAGGATTTACAGTCACCTCAAGGATGGCCCTCCACCGGAACACGAGCATATCTCCACCTTGAAGACAATGTGGATTTTTGGGAGGGGAGTATTGTTAGACCGGTCCACTGGACCGGTCCAGCGCTCCACGCGGGACGGCAGTTGCGAAAATAGCGAGATCTCCGCCTCCTGCGGAGATCGGGTGGCCCGTCCGCTCAAGTAGAGCTTTTTAGGAAGCGTTTTTTTTTTTTTGGTTTTGAGAGGGAAATTTGAATGTAGGGACTGTTTAGGGATTTCCTTTTGAATTGTATGCATTAAATAGTTGGTTTTTCTAGGGTTGGGGCATCTTGAATTGGCTGAGGTGGCCATCCTTGAGGTGACTGAAAATCCTTACTGTATTGCGGAACCAAGGGCTGCACGGAAAGAGAAACATCCCCTCCCTCTTCCAATCTGATCGCATCCAGCCTGTGTAGTCCCACCATATAATCTTCCCCCACCTCTTGTATGTCCCTAACCATGGTCTTAAGTGATTTCATGGCTTTGGATAGCGCTGCATCTCCCCTTATAACCACCTTTCTCCCATCCACCATTAATTCCATCGTGAGTGCTCCCCAATTGTCCTTGGTTTCCGCCTTTACTTGAATCTCCTGGATGGTCAACACCACACCCTTACAGATTCCCTGGCCTTTCTCCACCTTCCCTGCACCCATCATCACCCCATAACAACCGGTGTCCACCAATTTCACTCCCAGTCGGTTGACGACCTGAGTGGAAATGAAATTGTGGGTAGCCCCACTATCAATTAGTAGAACCACCTCACAGTCAGCTCTCTCTCCTTTCACTTTCATAGTGTGACTCGGAGTGAATCCCACTACTGAGTTCAGAGAGACTTCTGCCACATCCAGGTGCAACTTCTCCTCCTCCTCTCCAGATCTGCTCCCACCTCCCTCCTCGTCTTCCTCGTCGTCACAGACAAGGAGAACATGAAGAGTTCGATCCTTGCACTTATGACCTGGCATGTATTTCTCATCACATCTGTAGCACAACCCTTTTGTCCTCTTATCTTGCATCTCTTTCTCTGTCAGCCTCTTGAAATTTTCCCCACTCCCTCCTCCTACTGGCTTCTCCTGGGTGGTCTCATTACTGTTGCCTGATGCAGGCCCCTTGGGTGCTAGAAGAGTGGTCGTCGTCCTGCAAGAGCCTCCTGAGCAGTTTCCTCGAGCCCCTCTTTCTGCTTTCTTCTGATCTTCTACCAACTATGCCAGCTCCATAGCCTTTCCCAGGTTCCTCGGCTCCAGTACCCTGACGGCTGTTCGGATCTCTGGTTTCAGCCCCTTCATGAAGTTCTCTTTTAAGGCTGACTCTGAAATGTGATCCAATCTGCTAGCCAAGTACTCAAACCGATCCCGATAATCTGCCACAGTCCCTTCTTGAGTCAAGGCAAAGAATTGCTCATAGAAGTCTCCTCCCCCGTTGGTTTGGAAACGCTCTAATAAGCAATCCTTGAACTCTCTCCAGTTCCGGATGGGCTCCCTTCTGTCACGCCACTGATACCATGCCAGAGCTTTCCCTTCCAGACATAGACCCGCCGCTGTCAATTTTTCATCCTCTGTCAACCTGTTGACAACGAAGTAACGCTCCACTTTATAGATCCAGCCATGGCCATCTTTGCCCTCAAAGACGGACATTTTCAGCTTCCTCACCCGTGGGTCTCCTCCGTTTCCCCGGTACCCTCCATAACCTCCCACTCCTCGAAGGGGAAGAGTCCCCCAAGTGTTCCGATCGTCCCTCCGATGATTATATTCGAATCCCTCTTCATACTCACCTCTTCTTCCTTCGAAATCATCACCTCGACGCTGAATCCTTTCGAATTCAGCACCTCTGCGATGAATTTCTTCCCTTCCCCCCTTCAAATTCAGCACCTCGACGCTGGATTCTTTCAAATTCAGCACCTCGGCGATTGAATTCTTCCCTCCTTCCGACCAAGTTAGCCTCCCGTTGGTCGTGTCCACTATTCATCTCCTCTCTAGAAAGCGGTTCTAGAGGGGGCATGTCGTTTTCCTCATCCAGGATCTCCACCTCCGAATTTTTCCTCCCCCTCAAAGGGTTCGGATTTCCTCCCATGCCATGGCCGTCGGTAGTCTTCCTTACTTCCGATGTCGCCGGATTGCTCTTCATTTCAAGTAGTTTCTTCATCATTTCCTCCATCGCGGTGAACTTCCCCTCCAACCAAGGAAATGGTGATTTGATTTTGAAAGTTGCAGAATATTTCCTCAAAATCGGCTTTCAATTGGCCGACTTCGCCTTCTAAGACGTCAACCTTCTTTCCGGCCATCGTTCTTCTAACAGATCCCAAAAAATCTTCTTCCGGAAACTATAAACTTGCTGAAATTTCAGAATTTCAGCCACCGGTGGTCCCAATTCGATGCTCTGATACCAATTTGATAGGAAATACTTAGTTTCAAGTAGTTCCTAGCAAAAACTGTAGTAGAACAAGCAAAAAATTGCTGTTTACAGCAGTGGACAGCAGTTTTTCTCAAGCAAACAGTGAGAAATCGCGGGAAAACTGAGAGAAAAGTCACAGAAAAGCTTGTATTTCACTAGAAGAAAAAGAAAACAGCAAAGATACAATTGATCCTCAATTCGAGAGGAGGATCGATCTCTCCCAAATCTCTAGACGCCGCTAGGCCCAAAGAAAACCTAAATCTAAGAGATCTCAAATTTCAGCCAAATTCAAGATGCCCCAAACCCTAGAAAAATCAACTATTTAATGCATACAATTCAAAAGGAAATCCCTAAACAGTCCCTACATTCAAATTTCCCTCTCAAAACCCTAAAAAACGCTTCCTAAAAAGCTCTACTTGAGCGGACGGGCCGCCCGATCTCCGTAGGAGGCGGAGATCTCGCTGTTTTCGCGAACTGCCGGTCCCGCGTGGACAGGCTGGACCGGTCTAACATGCTTCTCTTCTTTTCTCTTTTTGGTTCTTTGTTTTTTTTTTTATTTTTTTTATTTTGTGTGTGGGTTTGTGGGGGATCTCCAGGGTAGATGGGATTACTTGGGTGTCTTGCATGGATAATTAGTGCAGTGTTTGTGATTTGTAACATACCTGCAGCTGTTTGGATTTCTGAGCCTTTCTTGTAAGGGCAATCAGTGTTTGGTTATCCCCTGTCGCATAATGTTGGGAATGATGTGGAAATGTGGACCATATTTTGTAAATATTATATAACATTAATTTTTTTTCTCCTGGTTAAGCTTACACCTTGTAATTCATAGTAAGATGCCTCTTTGCAACTAGGTGCTTCACCAAGCATTAGGCAGTTGTGGGTTTGTTTTGGGGTTTCAGAACTATGGACTGCAAAACATTTTATCATTATGCATTGCCATATTCCTGTATCATCTTATAAAATACGGAACAATTGTTGGGGGCATTTGTGTGGGTTAGATTATGTGGTGCACCTGTGTTTTCAACATGAATTGTCATATTTCTGTATTATTTTATATTTTCATTTTGCAGTTTATCTTTTTCTTTCCATGCTACCTTTTCTTTTTCTTCTGATTTTTGTATTGTGTATGTGCGTTTAATAGGTTCATAACACACCAATGTCTTTGTATGTGGGTCACCTTTCACCTCATGTCCGACAAGATGAGCTTGAACGGGTTTTCCGGAGATTTGGCCGTTGTCATTTTCAGTTGAAAGATGGATATGGATTTGTGGTGTATGAAGTCGCTGCAAATGCAGAAAGGGCTTTGCGAGCACTGCGGGGCAAACAAATTTGTGGGGAGCAAATATCTCTGAACTGGTCAAACAAACAGCCTAGGCCTTTTCAAAGGCCTACAAGGGGTTCTAGATTTGATGAACCCTTTCGGAGAAGGATTTTCAAGGAAGATGATGATGTTACTGTGTTTAGGAGTTCACAAGATCGAAGGGATTTTTCTACAGATATTCATAGTCCACCTTATAATTTTGGAGGGCGTCGGATTGATGATGCACCTGATAAAGAAGCAGGTCATACTCGTGAAGATGTTGATAGTGTTAGAGAAAACAGAAGTGAGAATTTGACAGGTGCATTAATGGATGAAGACGCAGGTGAACAAAATCCATTGGAACTTGATCGTTGGGGTGAGCCTACCAGTGATATGTTGCCCGGTCATGGAGCTGGGAAGGGTTATGATTTTGATCGTTATGAACCATACCATGGTTACAGCAAGAGAGATGAGAAAGAAGGTAACCAAAGAGCCAGCTCAGACAGTTCTCCCTATAGAATTCATCTAAAAGGACATAGAGAGCACTTCATTGCGGAAGGTGAGAGGAATTTTGATAAATCCATGCACCATGTAGCCTGTTACAATTGTGGTCAAGTGGGTCATATTAAGAGGAAATGCCCTGAAGGAAATGATAGGAGAGAGAGATTTACTAAGTTTGAACAGACGAGGGATGAAATGAGTTTTAGAGATAAAGTGGAAGGAAGACTAAAAAGGTTTCAAGCCAATTCATGGGGAAGGCCAAGCACCAGCAGAGATCCGTTTATAGCTAGACGTCGGACATGGGATAGAAAGGAGTTACATTCCAATAACTCCATAAGGACAGGAAGTTCTCTAGAAAGAAGGGATAAACACAGATCCAAGCTGCGTTCTCGGTCTCAAACTAAGAAGGTAACAAAGAAGAAATACTCATCAAAGAAAAGACCAGAGAAAAAAAGAAGAGCAAAAGCATCTGACACTTCATCAATGTCTTCTGATTCTTCTAAATCAAGCTCAGGACGTTCACATTCAAAATCTATTTCTGGTAGCAGATCTCGTTCAACATCTAGAGCGTCTTCTAGATCCCATCCAGCATCTTCTAGGTCAAGGTCTGTTTCGGACTCATCTTATGCCAAATCTAAAAGTTCTAGATCAAGGTCTAAATCTTTGTCAAGATCTAAGTCAAGGTCAAGTCCACTGAGGTCACTGTCGCTCTCTATCTCATTGGGTCGGAAGTCATCATCTTCACCAAAGAATATAGAAGGAAACGTTTCTATAACTAACACCCTGAAGAACAACTCTGAGCATATGGAATGCCTAGAGTCCAAGCAATCGTCTAAAATGACCAACTCTGAAGTAAAGACCTTGAAAGATGCAAATTCATTATCTCCATTGGGTGTTGAGAGTCAATTTAATGCAGAATATTCTGGAAAAAATAGTGTCAGTTCTTATAAATCTGATTTGAAAACTGCATATAATGAAACTGATGCATGTTTTGACTTGCTCAATGGTGCTGCTTCTGCTTCTGGAAATTATCCGGAGACAAGTGCACTGCAGAATTCTCTTATGATGAAGCCAGCAGAACAAGCAGCAGTTGGCCCTACTACGATATCAACAGGGGAAATGCTCTCAGCACTTCATCATTATGGACTGGTGTCACATAAGGAGGATGAGTTGGATATTCCAGTTGAGGGCTACTTTGGTGCTGCTCGGCTATGGCCATGGGAGATGATATACTATCGGCGATTGAAAAGGGGACCGATTACCACTGAAAATTATGCCAAGAGGCTTGAACAAAACAGGGAATTTGGTATTGTCGATAAGTACGTTAGAAGCAGTAGTGGTTGGGGAGAACGTCAAAGGAATCCATGATCAGGATGGACATTTGAGTGTTATGTCGTTGATAGTGTTTTGTCAAAATCTATGATTTTGTGGTAAGGTGCACCTTATCAGGTAAAGGATTTACAATGCTATTATTTACTGAACAGTTCAAAGCTGTGTTTGACACAAACATTTGTAGCTGCTTAGACTTAAGTGAAAGTTTCTTATGTGGACTAGAAGTTGTGGTCATTCAGTGAGTTTTTTTTTAATAGATCATCTGACATATTGTTGTTTCCTATTTAACTTTTAAATGTTATATCTTTGACTGTTGCTTGCAGAAGTTGGTTGTTGCGCTATCTTGCATATTTAGTAATTTGTGCATCTAGTAGATTTTGCTCTTCCTGAGGCCTCCAAATGTGCACTCTTATAGTTGCTTTTTCAGAATGAGCTTAGCAACTGACTTGAAGCTACTGATCATCATCATCCTGATTAACCTTATCCCAACTATTTATGAAGCTTGAAGCGAAAGATCAGATGGTAGAATGTTGGTGGCAGCAAATAATTTTGTGGTACTTTTATGCAAAGGACATGATTCCTCATAATAATCTTTATTTCTTTCTATGCAAGTATGGGAACTGCACGTAATTGCCAATGTTAAAAGTGATTTCACGAGTGCAGCTTCGGCTTTACAGTTAACAATAAAGGAGTTTGTGATTCAGGAAGTAGATTTTGTCTTTCAATAGCTCGTGCTGCTGGTAGGTTCGCAGTTTGATGAGGCACCTGTTTTACATGACATTGTAAATCTACCTATAGATTTTGTTTACTGAATGATTAGTAAGGTTTTGAGCTAGATGATTTGCTGACTCCAGAGTATTACTAGGGGGAACTCTGGAAGGATGATTTGTATTTTTAAGTGTAACTAGAATCTAAGAGATGTATTTCAAATAATTTGAAGATGTCCGGAAAGTTTATCAAATCTCTCATTCAGTTTAGCAAAATCATTTTTATGAACTTTATGGAATATCTTATGGGGCCAATATATGCATCTGCTGCTTGGTTGTTGGTTCTGGTCTGGAATTTAATAGTTTCATGAGCTAACGGGCATCATTTAAGGGAATGCATTATAATAACGCATTCAAGTTGTATGATGATTTTTTATCAAAGAAATCTTATAAAGTTTTTAAATGCATATGGATTATTCTGTCCAATTATCGGTAAAATTTATTTATGGTTCTTTCCATAAGAGGGACATTGCAACTCTAGCAGCTCATGTTATTGTGATCTTTTTTTTGACTTCTTAGTAAAGTGCTATTTTGAGTTTTTTTAAACCGTTAATGCCTGCCTGCTTGTGATTAATATTTTGCTTTACAAGCTTTATCAAAATTTTATAATATTTAATTTGTTGCTCATTTTGAGTACATGATAAATTTGTACATTAATCATTTCTGAATCATCTAGAAAACAGTGAAGAATATATCTCATAGCCCTCGAAGCTCCAGCAAGTGCGAGGTGAGATTCTTATCAGCACAGTTTTGCAGCTCAATTTTCGCATATTTGACTTGTTTGGGCAACTGATGACTGATCTTGGGTTATTGCTTTCTCTAGATGGGTAGCCTGTCACATGTCGGCCATCTCTCAAGTTTGGATGGAGTTGTTGAATCTTTTGTTCCCAACAGGTTTCACAAACAACAAACGAAACTATGCCTTTTCTTCTGATAAGCACTATATATTATATTAGTTTCCTTAACTTTGTGCATGTTTGTGTTCTAATTACAAGGGAGAGAAGAAAATAGGATGTCTCATGAGATTTTGTGGGGATGTGAGGGAGGCTGGACCATGAATGTTTTGATAGTGATGGTTGTACTTGCAAGCATCTTAGTCAATATATATCATGGAGGGTCCGGGGGACAGGAAAACAGTATAGTATAGTTGTTGATGCTGTGGGTTGGTGTGGAATCTAATGTGGGGCTATTTGATGCAGAATGCAAGGGTGGGATGGCTGGGTGTGGGAGGGGAGCTATTGTGTGGTTGACATTGAAAGCGCTTCATTAAAAAAAAAAAAAAAAACAACTTTTTTTTTTGTCCTCCCAAGGTAGTGTAACAATTTTATAGGGTAAATTAGCGGGCGTCAGCTAGCTTAGTTGTTAAAAGTGTTCTAAAATATTGCCATATGATTAATAAAGGCTTCATTATTTGGTGGTTTGTAGAAAATGATGATTTTGTTCTCAGTTGATGTTATGCGTGACAAATAAAATATGGATAGAGATATTTTGAAGGAATTTTTAAACTACATAAGATGATGAAATCTAGTAAATTTATTATTTTTTAATACATGATTTCCAAGTCAAGGAACCAAATAGGGCCCAACTATGAGTGGAAGGAAATTAAAAAAAAAAAAAAAAAAAAAGCTCAAATGAATGGTTACAGATTCATAGTCGTCCCACAAATTGTTTAACTTTAATTTCATTTCCTTAGTTTCTTCGCTATTGTATCCAATCAAAGCCTGAGTTCTCTTGAGTTTGATTTTGTTAAGTTGCCTTAGCCATGAACTGTTTGCATAGTCCATAAGAAGGTTTTTCCCATCATGTACTCCAGCTGAGGATAGCAGCAATGAGAACAGCCGGCATTAATCTGTAAACTGGATTTGATCATAAAATTTCTTCAATCATTTATTTTTTCAAAATTTCAAATAGTAAGTATTTTTCAAATATTTTAGTAGGAATTGTAGGCAGATTTGACCTGAAATCATTAAATTTCTTTAATTATTTTTTTTTCAAAATTTAAAATAGGTAGTAATTTTCAAATAATGAAACATTTTTTCTCTTGTATTTCTTCTCAATGAGCTGAGGCATTTATATAAATGGTGGTAAAGTTGAAGCCCAGATTGAGGAAAACAGCAGTGATTGCTTTGCATTTAGTATTGCCTTGTTTTTTTGTTGCGTATTCATGAAAGTGGGGGAGTGAATGAAAGGAACGGAATAGGGGTTGCACTTAAATTGGTATTTATCATCTGACGTAATCCCTCATTATTCTCAACTGCCTCACTTACTCTTCATTCAATTGAGTTTTTATTGTTAATAACTCCAGCAATTCAAAAGCCTTCTCTTTCCTTTCCCTGTTCACAACTTGACACTCTCCTTTGCCATTTCCAAGCTGCATTAGTTCATACAAATTACTTGATATGTATATGCGAGAGAGAATTCTGAATAAGAGTAGGAATGAAATAAGACGAAATTTCTATGTATATGATAACTTGACTGGAGAATTTGGGCTTTTCAGAATTGTCCAGTTTACATTAGCTTCAATAGAAGGGTAAAACGTAGGCGAACACAAACAAAATAGAGAAAGACAGAAGCTATACTAAGAAGATGAAAGCTAAAAGATTAAGAAGAACAAAGCACTGAAATCTATGGCTAATAATAATGGCTGGGTTTGGTGGATTGAGCAGAGAGCTGCAGAAACAAGATGAAGCATGACATCCCTTAACTCTTCCTATTCATCTTGTTGTTTGCGCTGTCATGCAGGAAGTCAAGGAGGACCGTGCTCTTGCACTTGGGGCACTTTGGATCATCCTCTGATAGCATGACATACATAAGGCAGCGAGGGCAGCCGGCGAGAACCATCGAAGTTGCTTCAGGGCTGTTCGAACACCTGAGTCCCTGTTCCCCCTCCGACGACACACACGAGCTTGGCGGAGATGTTGACAAAGGCGAACCACTCTGCGAGCCATCAGAGCTTCTGTTATCAACAGCCATCCTTGAGGGGTTCCCCCTCCTTGGCAGTGACAGGTTCAGCTTCAGATCCAGCCGTGGGCTCTTTCCACTTCGGCTCATCTCTCCTCTTCTATATCAGACACTATCAATGTTTTAAAACAATACAAATATACACCAGTCATATACACAAATAGACAGATAAGAAAAAAGAAAAAAAACCTTAGGGAATATCTCCCAGCTTCTTAGAGCTGCCGGAGGAGACCGAGCTTCGCCGGAGGGAGATAGCAGCTGCGGAGAGAAGAAGGCGTATGTTTCCTGATGTGGATGTGAAAGTTGAGAGCCTCCTGTGACATTATATAAAGATTTCAGGCTGTGGACTAAGTAGGTCTCAACTTTTTCTTTAATGCACAGCACAGAATAAATACTCTTCCCTTCTCTTTCTATCATCTCTTCAACTCTATTTTATATACAAACTTTATTCTATTTACTCTTGAGGTCTCCCCTTCTGGAGGCCTAAGATTGAATGGAATTGATTAATCTTTAATCCTGCAATTATTTATTCATGAACAGTGCTGTAGATGAGATTTTGCAGCTAACAGATCATTGAAACTTTTAAGAATCCCTCCCAGAAAGAAATTTACTGATGCTTCTGTTGCATTTATTGTTGCTGTAGTCGGTGAAATATGGATGACAAAAAAAAAAATATTAACTAAATCTCCATCTTCTCCCTTGCCCTACAGCCAGTCAGACCTCTGTTTCTGGAGAGATTATTCTGTGCGGACATCAGACATAGCTTATTGTCCAAAGACGAATCAGGTGCAGCCACGTCATCTAGTACCGAGCAGTACTGAGTAGGAGGTTATGTGGCGCATTTTCATTGGACTCTAGACGATGTTCGACGTCTGCACAGAATAATTCATCATCCTGTTTCTGATTATAATTTTGAGATTATTAGGATATTATAAGAGCCACTAGGGTCAAAAGCTTGAGAAATGCTTGCCCAGGTTATTCCACTTGTCATGCTTTGATAAGAAGAATGGTAACAATTTTTTTTTTTAGAATTTTTTTTTATTCAAAAAGTAATTGGTTTTGACATTTTGTATGGTACCACAAAGCAAATAATAATAATAAAAAAAATATACAGAACAAATTTGCTCCCAGTTTTGCCATGTGGACTGCTGCATCGAAGTATGCAAGCTCTTCCATTAATAGTATTTACTCCTAGGTTTTAATTGATGTATAAATGTTGTTCAGTAAGTCAGCCTTGATTTTGTGAGGATTGTAATTTCTTATTTTAATTTCCCTTATTTCCCCCCAAATTTTATATTTTATAAATATATCATATTAAATTTTGACATTTAGATAAATAGAAACTGAGAATTGACATAAGCTTCCATTGCAGTATTTTATAAAATTACTTGTAATGTTAAAAACAACTTTTCTTCATACAAATTTTTTAAAAGCAATTAAAACGAAATTATGGTTCTATTCGAAAAATAAAATAAACAGAAAGTTGGTCCAAAATTAACTGCTTTTTAAAATAACTTTTATACTGAAAAACAACAAGAAAGTCGTCCCAAATGAAAATTAAGAGACTCTTAATTTCCCCCTCATATATGTATTGTATATCAGTTAATAAGATTGCTTAGGCTTCGTTTGGGACGGCTTTCTTACCGCTTCTTAAAGCAGCTTTCTAGTATAAAAATTAAAATTTTTATACTGAAAAGCTGTTTTAAGAAGCAATAAGAAAGCCCCTCGTTTGGGACGGTTTTCTTACTGCTTTTTGAAGCAGTTTTCTAGCACAAAAAATAAAATTTTTATACTAAAAAGCTGCTTTGTGAAGCAGTAAGAAAGTCGTCCCAAACGAAGAGCCTTAGTCTCTTTCAAAAATTTATTTATCTCCTTCCAAATTGTGCAATAGGATTTATGAATTTCAAAGACTCCAAAGGATCTTAACTGAGCAAATAAATGGTATTGAATGCATCTGTGGTAAAACCAGAAAATAATGCTATAAAAACATACTAATTTTAGCAAATGGTTATTTACTTGCAATTTATTGCAAGATATACGAGACGTGTAGCTTCAAAACTCAGTTGGTTTTCATCTTAGTTATTATATGATAAGCTCGCATTAATTTTCCCTTTGGTTTTGATCCATGTGAGGACAAATCAGTCAGGTAAGATAATTAATTACATTGTCAAACCTCTCTAAAGTCTTACTTATGCAAATTATTCTCTCTAATTTGTTCAACTTCTTTCACTTTCAGGTCACTCATTAGTCATTTCTCTATATTGCAAATTTGATTTTGCAATCCAGATTATTGTAGAATAATTAAAGGATAATTTAGTTTTGTTTATCTAATTATCAACAAGGAATTGAATTAATATATATCTCTCTCTCTCTCTCTTCACATGACATAATACATGGTGTTTATATTTAGATCATTGATATTTTAAAATGAGAACAAGTGTGGCACATCTTGCATGAATTTTGATTTCATGGAGCCCACGTTGTTGTTCTTACTTGTTTCATTAGGAAGGCATGATCTATATATTATCTCCAAAAAATAAATTTATGTTAAATGATAACAGTTTTTTTTTTTTTTTGGGTATCCCTAATTCAAAATTGGTTATTGATTTTTGGGACAGCTATTTCGTTGTTTTGCTTTTCAAACAACAACCACAATTTCGCTTGACTAGCAAAAATTTCTATGATAGAAAGCTATTTTTTACAATAAAGATAGTCAAGTTATTATTTTCCCCACAACAACTTCAGAACAACCTTATAAAATGTTGCAGTCGTACCAAATAAACCCTTATTCATATGTTAAGTAAGGGATATATAGTTCATTATTTTCCATTTTCAGTTAAAATCACTCCACTTAAACTCTAGTCTTGATCATAAAACCTAACGTGTTAAACTATTTGCCAAACGGTCGAGTGTCAATTACCTTAAAAAAAAAACAAAAAAACAAAGAAAACTACTTAAAAATTAGAAAAATAAACATAACACATGCCTTATAAGTCATAACTAATGGATGCCAATTAAGTAATTAATCATCTCTTTCACCACTCTAAATCTTTTTTATTAAAACTAAATTATTTCATTTACCTTTAGGAGATTAATAGTAGACTAGTAGTAGCATTAGGAGGAGGGATTAGTTCATGTTAGAAAAGAAAGAAAAAAGAAAAAAAAAAAAGTTAGTTTTTTTCTTAAATTTTGTATTTTAACTATGATGACTGAAAATCTTTCCACCACTCATCACGATTCCATAGAGCATTGAAGGCAGGGAGAGAGATTAATGTGGCTTTTATTTTTGGACAAGTTATATAAATAGTTTTTGACTTGGGAGGTTCCCCCTCATTACTCTCGCACTAGGAAGAGTTAATGTGGGGATATGGTTTAATATTGTATTATTTATTAATCAATCCTCGTGTTATTATTTGGTATTCGGTGCTACTACTCCATCATCATGTGCCCATCTTTTATGACCCTTTGAGGTGAGATCTAAGAAGAGTCATTAAGAGATAGGCAAGGATTTAATGATGGTGGAGATTAAACTATTTTTCTTTGTATTAATTGTACGCAACACTGCAAGCTTTCTTTCTCATGAACTTTCAAGCTTTCATTTATATTTGCATTCAATGGAGGCTTCATGAGAGCTTCCAGCTTTTGATTGCTCATCTCAGAGCCCAGAATTTAACTGCTCCATTTTTTTTTTAAAAGCTTTATTCATTTCAGAATTCAGAATAGTCGTAATATTTATTATTTTTCTTCGATTGATTGATTGTTGAGCTTGCTTTTTCATCTCATTAATTAATTGCCTCGAATCTCTTTCTGTAATCATAATTGCTTTGCTGAGCTCTCTCTCTCTCTCTCTCTCTCTTTCTCTCTTTTCTAATGGAGAAGTTATTAAGCTTGATGGATGATACTGTAGAACATTGCCAGCTATTTTAATGGAAATTTGCTGTATTTATTTGTTGCTGTTAATTTTTTCTGTATCAGAAGAAAATACAGAAGCATTTAACTGAACAAATTTATTTTGTTTAATATGGTGATATCGGATAAAGGTGCAATAATACTGCTGAGTAAAAATTAAATTTGCTGTCATACTTTTATTACAAATATAAAGGCTGATTTGTTTCAGAATAATTAAAATAGGTAGCTGAACCAGAGCTCATCAAATCCTTGCTAGTCGCTTCATCATGTTCAACTATGCCATAGGTTGCATTCAATGAGAGACATTTCATGAGAAAAATACACTAAAGAGTTTTTTTTTGAATTGGAAGTTCATTCCAATGGACAAATGATATGCAAATAATATTTTGCATAATTATTTGTGAAGTAGATAAAGCATAATATAGTTTATGATTATCTATAGCCTGGCTAAATCTACTGCATGTTATTATTTATAAATCCATTAGTGTAGGAAGACATAGGGAGGACTATCCATAGACCTTTTTATATGGGCAAAGCATAGTACAATCATTAAACTTCAAGAGTTAGATAGGCCTATATTATAAATGGAACCTCTAGTTTAGGTAAACCATATATAGTGTTATATTCAATATCATTCATAGCTTAAATATTATCTTATGTTAGGTATGAATTTTCAAATTTTAGATAAGATTTGGCATGAAATGTGAAAATTCAATCAACTTTAATGTAAGAGGAAGTTTAGTATCTGGGATGCAAACAATGAAAAATATAAGAAAATACTATGATTTGATCAGATACTATAATGAGTGATCGGTAGTAAACATTAAATGCATAAAAATATAAGAACTTAAGTTCTTATTTTAATATTATTGAACTACTTCCATTGTATATACGTGAGAGGATTCCTACAGTATCGAGGAAGAAAAATAATGCAAGAATCTTGGGAGATGGATCACCATTGATTAATTAAGTATATTCAGATGATCTGTCATTGTGCCAACATCATGCTTAGTTGTATTTGCATTTAATCTTCTCATTAACTCTAACAATTATGGTTGTAACACATGCCAAGTTCATCATTTATTTATAGTGTATCCCATAATTACAGAATTTGTAACGTATTTGGTGACTTAATTTGTATTCTATAAAAAAAAATTTTCTCAATAGTTTTTCTGGGGTCCCAAGAGGAAGTAGAGAGTCTCAACTAAAACTCTTTCTTTAATTTCTCTTCATGTTGTAATATACGACTAAAATGGCTTCCAACATATTAAAACATTCAATGGTTATATTTTCCTCCAATTTTAGAAGTTATTAAGTATGATATAATTCCAAAACAAATCATCATACTTTTTTGAATTTCTTCTTAATCTTCAAAATCATGCAATTCTTGTCTCTTGTTTGATATTTAATAAGATATTATGACCACATAAATGTCCTTGGCTTTATAAATTAAGGTAAAGCAAAAGAAGCCTTGCCCAGATGAAGAAATTGTTATAAATGATGCTTCCTTGAGGATTATTGTTGGCTTCCATGAGCTTTAACTCATAACACATGTTTTGATGATCACTAACATAATTCGATTTAATAATTACTATATTATTTCATGGGA